TATCAATATTATCTAACATATCAGAATTTAAGTCAAACTGAACTTTGTTACCCTTGAACTTGAAGGAACTCTCAGATTTCTGTACCTTTTGTGCAAGATCATGTGTGGTATCTGCAAAATTTCTCTCAATTCCCGTCAACTTTCTGGTAAAATAGGTTTTCATCAATGACAACAAATCAGCATTTGTAATTTCATAAGAATCAGCTTGACACGGCAGCTCTACACCTTTCATATCAGGTAGTTTATCAGGCTCGATATCAGACATAACGAAATTAGACTTCAATACAAAAGAAACGTACGACAATGGTCACTGCCCAAACCTCGATAGTTAAATCTCGTGCAAACTTTCTTTATATACTGACCGCCAAAACCGGTTTACAACTATTGTGAAAACACAATAGAATAAATTACATACTTCAAAAATCATACGCGAACCGCACATAAATATATCACTCACTGAGTGGAAAATGCGTTTTATTATGAGTAACATTTTTTACAACTATAATTGTTATGGCTGCAGTATAAAAACAATTTTAGGTCAATGTTAGAATAATATAATTTTTTTTGTATTCGGCACGAAACAGTTGAAGAACTCGGTAAACCTCGCCTTCTCCCAGTTTCTAAGCCTTAAACAAAAAAGTTGATATTTTTCTGACATTGACCTAATTTTGTATATTTCCAAGTAAGGAACGTAGTTAATGGTTGTATTGTGTCATATCTAAATGTTTAAGTGTCATTTGGACAGCGCGTGGTGTGTATTGATTAGTGTATCGTCGCGGGTTGCTGTCACATTGGTACTGGTATACACATATCTTCAGATCATTCTTTTTAATCTAGATTATATTTAAAACATCACACATGTGGTTTGACGCAAACAACAGTAATAAATAATCAACAACAAAAAAATGAATGATCTGGCTGATGAGTTGTCTGCTCCATTCAAAACAGACGATAGCGCATTAATATTCACAACTTGTATAGACTCGGGCGGCGAATTAGACTTTAGAGCTTCGTGCATTGTCTTATTGTTGAAGAATTTGTGTTTCTATTTAGAAGTTTTATAAATCATTTATTTTGTTGGTTTGCTGTCCCACAGGCGTACACCCAACTTCTTATTTTATTCATGTTTGATTTGAATCATACTCTAATGAGTAAACACTTTATTTTATCTAAAACATTTTGTACATGTTTGTGGGCGATTTTTATTACTAGGAATTTAAATTTATGTTATTTCTTTTATTTAATTGAAATGAAGATTTTTAGATGATATTTTCAGATAGATAAATTTAATAAATGTCCATGTTGTCTTCCATCTGGGACTTATATTTGAAATAGTCCCAGAATAAAAACGAATATTTTTATGACAAAATCAGTCAGATGTGATCTTAATATTAAATCATACATTTTCTTAATTTTGAAGCACAGAACCACTAAATTAATTGTGTAATTCACTTCCAATAACGGTATGTCTGTTTTAATCTATAATGTGAAATCATGATACAATGTGTATATCAAATAAATTACTTGTTGACATCGAAGCCTTTCCCCTAAGAACTAGCGTTGCACATTTCCAGAGTTCCTGAATTTTATAAAAATCAGTTTCGTTTATTGCTTATGGTAGATTAATTTCGTGTATAGCCTATGGACAAATCTATTTTGTTTATTGTTTATGGAAACGTATTTCAAATTTTTTAATGTCCCTTCGGTATCTTTCGCCTCTCTTTTGTCTATATTGAAATTAGAATAAAATACGATATTTTTTAATTTGGATTACAGATTTTGGAAAAAAAAATAACAATAATTTTTGCTTTTTTATTGCTCTATGTCAGTTTTTGTCCATGGTCATTAAACCGCAGGCAGCTTCTCATTCCTTTTCAGATTACGTATGAGGTTTTCATATGATTCAACTTCCCTTAAATGTTTGGCTTGTGTATTAAATATTTGAGAAAAGGACTTCTAATACGAATAAGATAAGACAGTCAAAAGTACATGGGAATTCTCAAAACAATAAAAACACTGAGTGATTTTGTCAAATCATTATAATATTATTTAACTGTTTTCAGCGATCAACAAATTATCACCGCAAATTTACTACACGTTTCAACTGTGACTTTACGTGTCTGACGTGGATGCCCGCAAAATGCTCTTAGGGATTAACAGCTTTCAAGTTCACCAATAACATGTCCAAAGGAGACTCGGTTGGGAAATGTTGGCTTAAAAAAAATAGTGGTGACCCTGGTCTATAGCTTTGAATTCTTTACTAAGTGCTGAGGTGCTGACAAAAGATAGTTTCTCTCAATTCTTGCCCCTTACACAAACTTTTCTCCCCTTTCTTGCTATCCTGCGTTCCAGCCTCTTTTCTTTTCAAACCATCCCGTTCGCCCCCGCCAACTTCCATCCCATTCTCTCTGACTGTAAATTCTTTATCGAATACGAAACTACCAAATAAATAAAGCTCCAAAACAGACCCACATTCATCGATTATCTCGGCAATAATTTTATTATGTGACTGTCTATGTTCAGCTCCAGCTCATGAAAACGTGGTACCTTAATTAGGGAACACTTTTGTAATGACTATTTCCCGTTGTGTGACCAAAATTACTTGGAACACTGATGGAATTCAAAAAGAATTTTGAAAATGCTGCAAACCAGTCCTGAATTTCTTGACTGTCAATACTTGGCAGTTGCATACTTTCTAATAATAGAGGAAAACTATTGGCTATGCTCTGTATACCAGCTGCTTTGAGTGTTTATTCGTACACAATATAATTATAAATTTGGAAATATTGTGCCACTTTCCCTCTCATATTCAAATACATTTCTTAATTCTTTTTCGTCGATGAAAAACTCGTTAAGAAATTTTCGAATCCGGCAAAAATGATTGAATCATCTTGACGACGAATCGTTTTTATAAACTGATCGGTGACTAACAGTCCTCCACAGTGATGGAGATAAAGCAACTCTGGACAACAGACATATAGGCAATATTCTCATGAAACTAATACAAGCTAGCCCGTGATCCTGGCTCACTGCTTGACAGATGCGAATAGGTGGTTGTTCAAGGCTGTCTGACTGTGATACAAGCTTCTTTGTAGGAGATATTTTTTATCAGAACGTAACGTGGGCGATCGTGATTCTTATAACAACTGCATGAAAAGATTAAAGTATCATCGACACTCGTCGATCAAAATAAGATTTGGTAAAACTTATCAACACACGTGTTAAAAAATCAGGATGGTATTGCTCCATTTAAATATAAAATGACATACCATTATTTATTTATTAATATTTTTTATCGTGTTTGCATGATTATTTGTTTATTTGCGCTGGTATAAAATATTAATAGGATTGGGGTAAGCTTTCAAATGAAAATACTTTCTATTTGTATTCCCCTTCGTGAGTTTAGTTTTGTTTGTTGTGTTGTTTGACTGTTAAATTAAACGTTAAACGTGAATTATGACTATACAGAATATCAATACGCTTTGATTTTCAACTCTCCATCGATTATTCCGATTAATCAACTTTTTATATCGTTCACACGAGTATATTGTTAAATTCTGTCGTCTAGAATATCAACATTAAACATTTTACTCGATATCAAACAAACAAAAATGAATTATTTGATTTTCCCTCCGAAATCTTTTTAATGCATATATAATGGGAAAATTATAATACAAACGATGTTTTTTTTTCAATGTAAGCTTTTATAACTAGGGATAAGCCGGAATACGTATACCGTCACTATTTTACTCGCAAGTATATCATGGGTACAAATCGTTAATCAATCAACACTCAATTAAACAATCATCCAAATCCATTATCTACAATCATTATGGGGTAATAGAAACCTAGAGACTTTTTGCTCATTTTGTTTAGCACCACAGTTATTGATTATATTGCTACCGTATTTCATGATTATGCACTACGACGATGTTTGGTAATCAGGCAAGAACCATAGAATAAAGGATTTATTGTATCGTTTTCATTGGTAGACAAAGTCCATACTAGATTAAATGTTCTAAATCTGTCTGGATCTTAATAAGTTATGATTCTCCGTCAACACGAACATTTTTCAATGAAGAAAACCAATTGTCCAACCAGAATCTATGACAAACAAGACGATTTCATTTTTGAAATTATAAATTTTCTTCACCTTAGCAGCAATATACCTACTTTAACCGCGTATGGAGTATACATTTCTCAACTCATACGATATTTAAGAGTTTGCAACTGCTACTCAAACTGTGTCAAACGTTTCAGATGCAGGTTGGTCCTGAGTTGCGATTCGGACACAGATGGTTTTTACACTGTTGTTTCTATTTTGTTTACCCTTGTATTTATATTTACTTAATTTTTACCTTATCGAGAAAGTGTACGGATGTCAAGTTGGTTCAATATTCAACATTCAACATTCAACATTCAAATTTTTTTTTTTGTTAACTTTTTTTTCAAATTTTTTTAATTTTTTTTTTTTTTTTTCAACTTTCGATTTTCAACATTCAACATTCGTTTTCAACATTCAACATTCGAACATTCAACATTCGTTTTCAACATTCGATTTTCAACTTTCAACATTCGTTTTCAACATTCAACATTCGTTTTCAACATTCAACATTCGTTTTCAACATTCAATATTCGTTTTCAACATTCGATTTTCAATATTCAACATTCGTTTTCAACATTCGATTTTCAATATTCAACATTCGTTTTCAACATTCAACATTCGTTTTCAACATTCAACATTCATTTTCAACATTCGATTTTCAACTTTCAACATTCATTTTCAATATTCAACATTCGTTTTCAACATTCAACATTGGTTTTCAACATTCGATTTTCAATATTCAACATTCGTTTTCAACATTCAACATTCGTTTTCAACATTCAACATTCGTTTTCAACATTCGATTTTTAACTTTCAACATTCGTTTTCAACATTCAACATTCGTTTTCAACATTCAACATTCGTTTTAAACATTCGATTTTCAATATATTTTTTAATTTTTAAAATATCCCGCGTTTTAATACATGACGTTAACCAAGGTTATGTAACTCTTTACCTGTTGTTAACTTCCTGGTAGAATACCTTGGCGTTGTTTCAGACTATAGGTAAACATTTTTTTCTTTATCTGTTACATTCAATTATACATGTTTAAAACATTTTTATCTCTCAGACAGTAGAAGGGTTTCCTTCAGTTTGGTCAACATTCTTTTACAAGCCCAATGTATTTACTTTTTCATTAAATATGAGTTTCAGGAGGTGTTTCGTTCAGACTTTGTACAGACATCTGGAAAATTTTACATTTGGCTGGATTGTATACTTATCAGGTTAAGGTTCATCATAAAATTTCCCATGAGTACAGACAGACCTGTGCACCTGGTAAAGTTTTGCGGCATGGCAGGAACTAGGTAATTAAATTTTAAATGCATTTTGTGTTTCGGAAAATTATTATAAACTGTTCTGGATTTTGAGATTCCTTTATTTTCGTTCCAACAGAATATTAAAAAAAAACAACTAAGTTTCGGAAAATGTTTGAGATGTTCCCTTATGTTACACAGGCACTTGTCTCAGAAAAAAATAATCCTATATACCTTACTATTAAGGTATATAGGAAATTTTTTTCTGAGACAAGTGCCTGTGTTATGTATTCATATTTGTGAGTTGTTTTGATATACACGGACAATAGATGGACACAGCAATAGGGGATTTAAACTGTGGAAATGCTTGGACCATATCAAATGAAATTCAGGTGTTTGTTTATTTTGGCACCTTCTGTGGGAACAAAAAAAGGAATCCAAAATCAAGGTTTGTCACTGTACAAATTCTAGATTAAATGCATTTAAAATTTATTTATCTGTTTAAATTAGTTCCTGTCATGCTTTAGAACTTTTAGGTGAGCAGGTATACATATAAAAATAAGAAGATGTGATTGCCAATGAGACAACTCTCCACAAGAGACCAAATGACATAGAATTTAACAACTATAGGTCACCATACGGCCTTCAACAATGAGCAAAACCCATACCGTAAAGTCAGCTATAAAAGCCCCCGAAATGACAAATGTAAAACAATACAAACGAGAAAACTAACGGTCTGATTCATTTACAAAATAATGAACGAAAAACAAATATGATATACAGCAACAAAAGACAACCACTGAATTACAGGCTCCTTACTTGAGACAGGACCTACAGAATGTGGCGGGGTTAAACTAGTTTGAAGCAGCCAACCCTCCCCTAATCTGGGACAGTGGTGTAACAGTACAACATAAGAACAAACTATAAAAATCAGTTGAAAAGGGCTCAACTCATCTGATCGATACAAAGCAAAAAGACATCTAACAAAAAATACAGACCGGACGAGGCAGGGTATTTATACATCCCCACAACAAAAAAGACACTAACTACAGATCTGAGAGTACTTTCAGTTACTGACAGCTAGTTCAAAGTCAATAATAACTAATAAAAAAAATCATGCATCTAAGACTAAATATCAATCAGTACACATCCAACATCCAATGGATTTAGTGTAAAGACGTCATTAACAGTCAGAGAAAAACATGACCTTGTGCAATGCCAAGATACAGGTATATGTCTGTACTCAAAGTAATTTTGTGTTGAAAACACGGTCATATATAACAATTCCTTCTCACGATCCTTAATCTCTTCACGAACTTCACGAACATTTATTACATGAAGATTTTCTTCATGGTGCAAAACATAACTTGCTTTTTGTTGTTGTTGCAGAGTACATGTAATGGCAGCTACCCAGCCTTTTTGCGACATTTGTGACCACCGACATGTTACAAAACCGTCCACTGTCTGGTGTCTTGAATGTGAACAGGCATTTTGTGATGATTGTAACGAGTATCATGGATTTTCGAGGTTGTCCCAAAATCATGTTACTGTATCGATTCAGGACCATTTGTCGATGTCTCCATCTATTTCGCAAATCAGTCATATGTGCATGGAGCATAATGAGCAATACCAAATGTTTTGCCAAGTTCACGAAGAACCTATCTGCCCTAAATGCATTGAGAAACATGATGGATGCAAAGGTATAGTACCCCTTAGTAAGGTCATAGAAAACGTTAAAAAGTCCTCACTTTTCCAAGAAACACAACAAAGTTTGAAAGATATAAATGGAAACATCAAAACTCTACAGAGTGAACTAAATAAACAAACAAAAAATATAAAGGAACAAGAAGAGACGATATTGTCCAAGATCAGCGATACAAAGAACAAGATTAATGACCACTTAGATATATTGGAAAAGAAGATCAGAAAGGAAATATCTGAGATCACAGCAAAATTAAATAATGATATGAACCAAACACTACATGTACTAGAAAGCAAAAATAATAACATAAACAATGCTGAACAACAGTTAAAAGACCTTGGCAGATTCGCGACCGACCTTCAAACGTACTTTGGATTACGGAATATCTCATCCGAAGCAGCTACAACTGAGTCGTACTTGCAGTCGATCATTGGAGACAACTACTTGGATGAAACTACTTTACTCTTCAACATTGATGAAAAAATAGACAACACTACCAATATTATCCAAACATTTGGGTCGGTTAAGGTACATAAAGCTCCTTGTCAAATTAACCTCGTCACAAAAAAAACTAAACAAGCTCAACTAGTCGGGACTAAGATCAAATCTATCACTGATATAAAATTAAGGCTAATCAAAACCATAAAAACAGGAGTTTCATGCATGAAAGGAATTGTTTCTTTACCAAGCGGAAACATCGCCTTAAGTGACTATTCCAAAACTCCCGGGGAAGTAGTTATTTTTGGTACCGACGGAGAGAAACTTAGTAAAGTCACAGTTAAACCTGCCAAATCATTTGATATAACATTTATAGATGATAGAACGTTAGCTTCAACGTCACCTTTGCACTCGCTCACAGGCGTCTGTATTATCGATATTGAGAAAAAGAAAATATCAAAGTATATTCCAACAAACTACCAGAACTATGGAATAAAACACCACGATGGGTCATTGTTCGTTTGTGCATCGAAAGAAGGTATTTTCAAAATAAACCCTCAGGACGGAAGAAGTACAGCTATCGTCAGGTCTGCTTTACCTTCATGGTCATATATTGACATTTTTTATAACAAAATTTATTATACTAATGATTACACTGAAAGTGTTACATGTTGTCACATGAACGGAAAGGCAGTTTGGATATTTAAAGACGAAAATATCTTGAAATGTCCACGTGGCTTAGCAGTAGATAACTCCGGAAACGTGTATGTTGCTTGTTCAACATTACATCGGGTTGTGGTGATATCACCTGATGGACAACAAAACAGACAACTGCTGTCTCGAGAGGATGGATTGGAAAGTCCGTGTGCGATTCATTTTGACAGAAAAAACAATTGTCTGTTGGTGGTAAATAGCAGCAACATGTTTTTTATCTATGAAGTTATAAATTAGAACTTTCTATACGCAGCATATAAATCCAAAATAACAAGAACTTGCAAAATGAATAAAAATTATATAGTAATATAGTTTATTTTACTACATCTGCAATGTCTTTCTATTGTAATGAATCATCCTTTACCCTCTGTTCTTTAATTTAGTTTCGTATTCGTACATATAATTGTCATGCTCTGGTGACCAGAAACATTTTGTAGATGGTAACATTGATTACTAAGTAAATTGTTTCATGAGTGTGTATGTGTTCGTCCAGCAATAACCATAAGTACATTAACATTATTCTATTCCTCATTGATTTAGATAAGATTTGTTTCTTATAATCTTTGAATGGGGAAACTAAACTACAATTAAGTATGCTGAACCAGCCTCAATGTTTCAGAAAACTTTTATTTAGCTTATTTATACCTTATACAATCCAGATGTTAAGTTACATGTTTTTTTTTATTAGGACTGTTTCTTATAAGCTATACATATCATCAACCATTATAAGTGTACATTGTGATCTGACAGATTGTTGATATTTAAACATTGCTGTCATCATGTGAGACATTTTACTGTGCCAAAACATTTGCATACCTCAAAATTTTAACTGTTGCCACATCAAAATATATAACAAACAAAATCATCTTAATTTCTAATTTTCTGGAAAAAAAACCTCTGTACTTTGAACAGCCGGTAAAGAATAGACTAGAATATGATTACACTACTAGACTAGACTATACTAGTAGATAATTTCCTGTTATTTTCACATTTTAAACATTCAAGATGAAAATTAAGTACATCTTCAACACTTTCAGTGTTGCTCATATTGCTTTGTTTTTGTCATCATGGTTATTTTTGTATTTATAAGAACATAATTCATTTGATGTTCATATAAAAATAAGAAGATGTGGTATAATTGCCAATGAGACAACTCTCCACCAGACACCAAATGACATATAGGTTCAACAATGAGCAAAACCCATTCCGCATAGTCAGCTATAAAAGACCCCAAAATGACAAATGAAAAACAATTAAAACGAGAAAACAAACGGCTTGATTTATGTAAAAAACAATGAACGAAATACATATATGATAAGCAGCAACAAACGACAACCACTGAATTACAGGTTCCTCACTTTGGACATGTTCATATAGAATATGGCAGGATTAAACATGTAAGCGGGTGCCCAATCCTCCCCTAACCTCGGATAGTGGTGTAACAGCACAACATATGAACAAACTATAAAAATCAGTTGAAAAGGGTTTGACTCATCAGATCGATAAAGCAGAAAAACAAGTAACAATAACACAGACCGGACATGGCACGGTTATTTATACATCCCTACAACAACAAAATAGACACAAAGGGCAGATCTGAGAGTACTCGCAGTTACTGACAGCTAGTTCAAGCCAAAAACAACTAATAAAATAAATCATGTATCTAAGACTAACGTATCAATCAGTACACATCCAACATCATCTGTTTCCTACAGGTACAGCCAAACTTGCAAACCAAATTTATGTATCTATGGAAGAATTTAGTAAAGGTTTTAAGTAATTTGTGGTAACGAAATCCCTAACTTAATAATTTACCACTTATACATAGATTACGTTCATTCAAATACAAAGCGTCACTACAGACACGGACGTAGCGAGCGAGTTGTGATATATAAACACCGTAAGATGGTGCCAAAGGAACATCCCAATCCAAGAAAGGAAAATTAACAATAGGGAACGAAAAATCGTCCCTTTTGTCTTAAATTTTAGTGTAGAGTTTCCCGTGTTAAACTGAAATATCTAAATCTAGGAAAAGACAGTTATTACCGTTTATATTTGATTTATTTACGGTAAATTTCGGCAGTGTATTTAGAAAATTCTTGATTACTTAACGAAGAAATATCATCAAGATAATGGTAAGTTGTGTTGAATTTGTCAATTGCTGTCTCCTTGTCTCTTTGTACTTTGTGTCCCATGGTCATCCATTTACAACATTTAATATCAGTTGGTTTGTTGAATTCTCTTGCGAAGATGATTCGTTATTTGTAATATAATAATGTATGCATCAAGACATATTAACATTTCCAACCATCTCCTTTTAATCCCTCACTTGAGTAGGTTGAAATCTTAACGGTTGTTAAAATTCCATTCTAAATAAGATGAAAGCAATATTACAGAATAAAGAAAAGAAGAGGCTAACTTTATCTGGTACCCAACGAATTCATAGTAAAACAGACTTAAAGATGTAAATACTATAATGACACTACATAATCAAGGTAGGTATAGTGTCTAGCTGAGATCGTGTTTTTTCGATTGAATCGGGCCATTTTTGTCGATTGTAGAACAGGTTTTTTCGAGTGATCTTACATGCGATACAGACCGATTTAGTGCTATTTCGCAAGTATAATGGTTATAACGATGACTGTTCATCTCATTCTGAATACTTTGCATATTTTGAGCACAAACGACCCACAGTTTCCTTGTATTTCACTTAAAATTCAGTGTTTTACATTGTCCGGGTTTTTTCGAGAGCAACATCCAAAACGTCCTGGTTGTTAACAAATGACCTGGGTTGGTTTTTTTTTAAAGAAAATGTGAAAAAGATAGAAGGCATTCTTTGCCTTAACAACTGACTTTTCTATTTCTAAATAGGTCACAAAAACATATTACTATATATATATATGATGATAAAATTTAATCCTTTTCAATTTATTGCTACTTTTCTGAATACATTTGATCATAACCTTGTAGAATTAAGATATATTAAAATTTACTGGATCCTCTTCAAAATGTTCTTTACAACCTTGTACAGGGGACTCATAATCTTTTAAATTTTATTTCTTTTACATGCTACCTGTGTATTTACAGGCAATAATATTTTATGATTGGTATATAGTACACTGAAGAACCCTAGAGTTTTAAAAATAGGGATAAAAAACCTATGGGACAACTGTAAAAAAAATGCAATATAAACACAACTTTTCTGATTAAAGAGGCATTGAGTCAGCAGCCCCGCTCCCTAAAAAAACCAAACATACAATAACAAATAAAAAAAAACAAAAAAAAACACATCCTTAATCCGCCCCTGTACTTGTTCTCAATGACAATGTTAGTATATGTTGCTTCTGTCTATATTCGACCGACTTTGAAAGGGTAGTGGTGGAAGTATAGGAGAGAATTTCTGTTTTCATATGACTTTGTACGATTTTCATGCACGCCAAGATAGATTGCCCAGTGCTTCAAACGACATTATGAACAACATTGTAATGTCTAGACAGCAATTAATATTTTCCATTTTTTAGGCACTTCTCTCTGATGGAAAGAAAGCTATTATGGTGCTTTATAGCTGTAAATTTCCATTTCTAAAACGAGAAAAACAAATAACCATCAAGATAAAAAGTAAATGAAACATTTAGGAAGTATTTTCTGTTAAAAATTCCACATATACGAGCTTGACGAACTATATGTACGTACGTCTCAGTTCAACATGTCTGTGCTTACATAAAGAATGTTAACATCCCGAATATTTCCTGTATGAGAATGTTCAAATCACGTAAATGTAATGTACGCCGTTGACAACGTGGGTTGAATTCAGTGGACGTGCATGATGTGAACAGTCTTTACTTGGCCGCGGACATTTTTTATCTATCCAAATGTACGTACGCCGTTATCCATATAATCGATAAGATATGGCAAACAACAACAAATGAACGATGCTTTTTATGAAATGTACATTTAATACAGCATTAATTATCAAACTGGTTTAATGCAATGGTTGGAAAGGTACTCTATTTGAACCTTTTCATTTTGTTAAACTATTGCTCTGACATATAACATTTTAAGCCATAGGAATTTTGTTTATATCCACTCGACAAAACCTAGATCGCACTCGAAAAAACCCGGTCTGCTCTCGAAAAAAACCCGGACATAAAAAATGAATTATTCTCAAAATGTCCTTTCTCAATGCAATAACAAGAATTTTTGTGAAGTTTCTGAATATCTAATGATAAATAGATTCCATGTATGAATTTCCATTCTGGTTTGTGTATCAAATGGCTTTTTCTGTATTTTGGAATAAAAGCATTGTAAGGCTAGATTAAACTTTTATAATACAAAATAATCTAGGATTGACAATATGTTTCATCACAAACACTACATTACCTTGAATGATCTTGTATATTAAGTTCAAGCATCTATTTCACGTCTTTCCAGAAAAGAAGTCTGTTTGTTTACATTTTTGATCATATTCACTTGAAAAAAAACGTGATCACACTCGAAAAACCCGATCAAGTCATTTGAAAAACACGATCTCAGCCGGACACTATACCTTCTGTGATAATCTACAAATTGTTTTGACTTAATCTATTTTATCAAATTAAAGTTTATAAAAGAACAACGATATAACTTTTAAGTAGACAACTCGGTTTTTTTTTCGGGTAAATAAATTATTCAGAGAAGTTTAAGAAATCATAGCTGAGGGAACAGCGCAACTATTTAGGCCTATATAAAAAAAAACGGTGAATTTTAGGGGTGTTAATAGACGTAAGCGTCAGCTTATAATCTCCAGTCAGGGATGTAAAAGTATGTTGTACGCGCTGCCAAATTATTTACAACTTCTCTGAAACAAGATCGGCGAGTTAAGTTTGTCCACTACATAAACTTCAAATCTATGTGCCACAGATTAATAAGCAAACCAGCTGATTTCTCGTTATTCAAACTGTTAGTGTGTTGTCCATATTTGTATTACGCAATCCTCTGCATTTTTCGATTGGTATGTTTTAAGCTTCCATAGGTCTTTTTATGATTCCTTGAAACCAGTTCAAAAATACATTTTTTGCGTATAATTATCCAAGATTTTTTAAAACGTTTTGCTAGAGCAGAGACAATATATATACAAAATCGGCGATTATTTAAGAGAACTTGTCGATAATCTGCAACATAAGCGATTATTTTTAAGCATTCACTATTAATCTAAAACATCGGAAATTAATGTACAGCACTAACGATTAATCTACTGCATTGATGATGAATCTACAGCGCTGATGCCAAATTTGATAGCATTGATGATAAATCTATTGCTTTGACGATTAATCTGAAGCATTTGAGA